CAAAAAAAAAAAAAAAAACCAAAAAAACAAAAGCAATACCCCAAATGTCTTCCAACTTCCTGTGGTGCACTGTTAACTATTACTACTACTACTGGTGTCAGAATCCAGTATAAAATTAATCCCAAAGAGGAGGTTTCTTCATTATCTTTGACACAACTGCCTAAGAGGAGAGTTATCTACTAATGTTTGGGATACAATCAGAAATGACACATGTGGAGTATGAACAGCTTTAATACATGCATATATTTAATAATGAAACAATTCATCGACAGCAAAAAGAAAGCAGAAAAATTCATGAGACCTCAGAGCTGTGGAAGAGAATGGGACATCAAGCAAAAAAAGATATATATAGCAACTGACCCAGAAGGCTGCATGATGAGTGAAGCAAAGGCAAATTTGGCTAAGATAGTATTAAGTGCTCTGAAAAGAGAATGGCTGGATAGGCGCGCACTTATCTGACTGCTTGGTAGCAGGCAGCCTTACTGTATGCTGCATGGCATGAAGGCAAAGAGACAAGGAGAGGTCGGAGAGGTGGGAGAGGGGAAGGAAAAGAACAGTATAGAACCCCAGAGTAAACAAATGAGAGGGGCAGAATTACAAAGAGATAACTCTAAAGTCTTTTGTTTCCTTTAAAGTACAAAATAAACCTTAAGTTTTTAAGTATGTCAGTCAAATTCAATGAACACATAATGAGTAACACTAGGTACAGGAATGGTGGAGGGAGTGATTTATAAAAATAAAGGAATGACACAGATCCTGCTCTCAAGGAGCTTACAACTTATATGGAAAGACAAGATTCCACACAAAAACAATTGCAAAACATATTTACATAGTAACATACATAAAAATAAATATGCATATAAATATACATATGAATAACCAACATATGAAAACTAAGGGATATTGTGTTAATAATTGCTTAGAAGTCCCTAAGTCTGTTACAAAAGAAAAAATTTTTGAACTTTTAAGTATATAGTTAGTGGAGAGCAGGGCATGTGCAAAGGTATGAAACTAGGAATAAATATGTCACGTTCAGTAAGTAGATTAGCTTGATTGGAGTAGAAAGTCTAGGTCTAGTTAAGAAGTGAGTTTGATGAAACAATAGAAGTCTGTCTGGTAAAAGACACTATAATGTTAGATCTGGTCCCTAAAATAAAATGAACAGGGAACAAATATTTTCTTTAAGTAATAAGTGGTCACATGTCCCTGACCAACTCCACTGCTTTCAAAAGTTTTGAAGTTACGCTAAGAGATAGAAGCTAACAATAGGATAGTAGAGAAGAACTCAGTGTTCTTGTCCAAGTAGAAGGAACCACCTTCTACAAGAATTCTTAGGAAGTGGCAAGTAGACCCCCAAAGGCAAGGAATTTAAAAGCTAAATGAAATTCCTAGGCAGAGGATCTATCATCCAAAGGCCAACCAGATCCTGGTAACTGTAAGTGTTCAAGCAGAATGTCCTTGACCCTAATTCTTAGTGGGGAGTGGATTGTATATGCTTATGAAATTATTTATTTTTTAACTACTGTGATAACCAGCTTTGATCCTAACATTTTAGAAATTAGTATAGGAGGATAAGAAGAGCCCTAATCTATAGGGAATGCTCATGTCCCAGAAGGAGGACAGGTCAGTAAGGGCCCAAATACTCCCCTGGTCTTTAGAAGGAAAGGCAAAACATCACACCTTAAAAGAGGTTCCTCTCAGCCAAAGCAAGAAAGACCTCTTTCATTAAGCCTATTGATCTGAAGCTATTCCAGAAAGGAAAAAAAAGTTCAAGCCAGATGTTCAGCAGCAGCCAGAGTTGGCCCCTATGTCACGAGAGTTCCGCTGGGAGGCACTGGGTCCCACTGATGTTGAAATTGACTGTTGGGGCCCAATCTTGATGCCATTGGCCTGTAAAAGAAAAGAGGCAATAGTTCCCACCTCAGTGTTAAAGCAATTGAGAGAGAGGAGGAGGCTATTTCTGCTTGTATCCCAGGGTAGAAAAGAAAAAAGAAAGGGGAGAAAGGAGAAATCATTAATTATATCTTCTAAAAGCAGGTTTGACCTTGACAAGTAACCATGTGCCCTAGCCAGACTACTGTGGAACAATAATCTATGACAGTAAGAATAAGATGACTGCCTGTGGTCTAAATACCGTAGTTGACTAGAAGTGGCTTTTCTGCACTTTTTTTTTCCTTGAAGAAACGAGGTATCCCTATGTGGCCCAGGCTGCAGTGCAGTGGCTATTCATAGGTATGATTGTCGTGCACTATTGCCTCAAACTTCTGGCCTCAAATGATCCTGCCTCAGCCTCCCAAGTAGCTGAGCCTACAGGTATGCCACTGCACCTTTGTGCTCATTAAAAAAAAATTTTTTTTTTGAGATGGAGTCTCACTCTTTCGCCCAGGCTGGAGTGCAGTGGCGTGATCTCGGCTCACTGCAACCTCTGCCTCCTGGGTTCAAGCAGCTCTCCTGCCTCAACCTCCTGAGTAGCTGGGATTACAGGCACGTGCCATCACACTCAACTAATTTTCGTGTTTTTTTTTAGTAGAGACGGGGTTTCACCATGTTGGCCAGGATGGTCTCCATCTCTTGACCTTGTGTTCCACCCACCTCAGCCTCCCAAAGTGCTGGGATTACAGGCGTGAGCCACTGCACCCGGCCCGCAGAATGCTGTCTTTCATCAATCCTCTAATGCTTCTCAATTGCTAAAGAATTTTTTGGGGTGGGACAAAAAAAAAAACCTTCCATACAGAAACTACAGTTTTTATTACTTTAGTTTTGTCTCAGATGTAAGAGAGCAGTCTAACTCCAAATTTAACAGCTTCAAATCCTTTCTGGAATCGGGTAGA